TGTAGACCAAAATTCATATGCTATGTTTGCTAAGGGTTATTTCACGTATTGGATTGGTCAGGTATGGCTCAAATATTCCCACACACCTAATATCTAACTGGCAGACTCATCCTGAGTCAGTGCCAGAACATGTGGGTCACAGTTGGGCCAGAAAGGCATGGTTATAAAGGCATAGTCCAATTGTCATAAGACTACATCTGCTCCTCACGAGGTCCACCTGATTCCCATCAAAATTCATGTTACTCTTATCAATTTTTACTGCCTCCACTTTCTTCCCAATCGGTCCTCCCTCACGCCATGCTGCATTTCGACTGACTGCTGGTCATTTGAAATGAGGCTAGCTGCACGAGTCATCACTCCATCGCTGAAGGGAAAGTGGGTCTAAGGATCTCTCTGTGGGCCGTGTTCAAAATATATAATGTGCAGCTGAGTGCTCTCAAAAAAACAAGCACTCGCCCTGTCTGACTCTGTCATAACGAGCTCTCGTAAATGCCACGCCATCGCAGACTCATCGCTGAGACATCTGACTGTCCAGCAGACCTCATTTCAGAGCTGCTGCCCACCGAGCTCAGGAAACAGGATTGGATTCCTTAAACATATTACTCTGTTTTATTTTTCTGTTTTGTCTTTTCACTCCCAGTCCCTCAGTTTTAAAATGTAGTCAGGGTTGGATTGTTACACTGGATAGACCTTTTCTTTGACAGCAGTCAGTCCATACACCAGAAAGAAGCTCTGGTTTCATTCAGCAGCTGTCGAGGTAGCTGTCCTCACAATCAGCTCCTAAAGAATTTCATTACTCTCGATTTCAGACGTATAATACACCGACTCCTTCTGACGATTACCTCTACAAATCAATCCACAACAGTCACACATAGCATAACAATGAAATACGACCTCTGCATAATAAAAGCCTCAATATCTTTGCCTATTTATTACAGCTGCATTCTTTTGAAACGGCTGATAGAAATGCGGTGCTCATTGTTTTGTTGTCTGTTGAAAAAGACTGCATAATAAAAGAGTTCAGCAGAAGACCTACAAGGCTTTTCAATTATCATTTGGATTTAAAGCAGCAAGCCCTGATTTACTGGGGGTATAAAGGTCATAAATTATTGTGACTTCAGATAAATTATCAGACTTAAGATGCTGTCAAGAGACAAATTATTCTGAGAGTTTGAACTGTGCAGAGATTATAATTGTTACACTTCAAAAGATGCTTTGATGTCACCGATTGGTTGTAAAGTCGCCTTCTGGGGCTTCAATTTTAGACCGAGGGTGAATTTAGCAGTAGTGAAGCTCTACTCTTCAGCACGATGCATGATGCAGTGCTTGGATAGTGACGATTAGTCGTACAACACTTTTCAGAACATATTATGGAATGCTCTTGGGATGGATGGATATTTGACTACTTATCTAGGAAGAATCCATTTAAACTGGTTAGTTTCCTGGCACAGACTTGGCTTTTAAACACAGTCTACAGATTTTCAACAGGGTTGAGATCAAGGATTTGGGAAGGTTATTCCAGAAGCTAAACATTATCCTGCTTTATCCATTCCAAAACCAGGGTGATGTGTGTTATGTGTGTTTGGAATCATCGTCCATTGATTCCTGTTGAAATCATTGGAACACTCAGTTGTGTCCAAGATTCAACTCCAGCTACTGATTGGAGGTGAAGTTTGTGCAATGTGCCAGTACCACGTGCAGGATATTGACCAATGCCATGAGGATGCCATGCTAAGTTATTAGCTAATGCTAAAAACAAGAACTTGCTTAGCAACTGTGTGTGTGACAGTAGTAGTAATTATAAGTAAGCCATATTATTTGTTATTTAATGCCCTTAAAAATCATCCAAACCGGCCAACATGAGAGTACGAAAAACAGAGCAGCTATAGGTGCCAACCTGTGAGTCAAAACAGCCGCGCCCTTAAATTTAAAACATGTTATCGAACACTTAGTCCTTGTACAGTTGTCATAAAAGCGTGAAACTGTCCATAGGCACCAAAAATGTTTTCGTCTCAGGTTGTAAACATGTTTATTCTTTCTGTAAAGTCGGACATTTTAAAACGGGGTTCTATGGGGACTGACTCACTGGGCAGTAGAAGAACTGCAGTTTTTGGTACTTGTGCTTCATTTGGCTTCATTCTACAACACCAGAAGTTTATCACTTTATAACAAAGCATTAAGAATAATTATGGGAGTAAAAACAATCTAAAAATGTTACTTTACACATCTGGATAGATGAAATTGTCCTTTATTATTTCACCATCCACTGACACACATGTGCAGTCATGCATGTGTTGACAGTACGTGTGTCACACTGCTCCAGCAGCCGTGCAGATACTGGTCTTCAGTGACTCTTCCTTCACCGCTCAGATGATGCTGCTGCCGCTTTGTGATGTTTTGCCACAGGCTGCACTTTCCAAAGCACGACCCTCAGCTATCACACACAACAATGTATGAATGAATGAATGAATGAATGGCCTACATTCCCCCTTAAGTAAGGACCCCTTTCCCTACTTTGGTGTAATACACTGAAGCTCACAGTCTTTATCTTCAGCTCACTGAGTTATCCTGTTAAGTGTGAGTGTGGCATCCTCTCACAGAGGCTCTGTTTGTCAGTCAGCAGCTGGATTACATCGACTAATTGATGATGTGTTTGTTATTTAGCAGTTTTGATGCCATGTGAGTTGTTTTATAAAATAGGAGATATAAAAATACAGAATAATTTCATCAAATATTAGATGGAGGGGAACTTGAAGCTAGCTTTTTTTTTCTAAACCTAATCAAGTTGTTTTGGTGCCTGAACCTTAAGGAATCCATCGGGATTGTTTCATATTATTGAAAATATTCTTCGTGAAGATGTGTGAACAATAAACTATTCTCAAAAGAAATCATCCCAGAAGATTCTGTGATTCAAACTGCTTTGAGTGAACTGCTTCGTATCTTTATGAAACGTCATTTTAAAGGAGGAAAAATAAAAACTGTCCCAGCTGATGCTCAGCCAAATCATCCTGATTTGGAGTTAGCTTTTTCAGGTATTGATCGATGTACTAGCATGAAATTGAAGCTGTTTAGATATTTTGAAAATATCTCATAAATATGTTTTTGTAAATAAAAGATGAGACTGAAAATATCCTGCAGAGCTTTGGCAGCTCAGCTTAAAGGTCCTCAGAGGCTGCAAAATTAGTGTCATGAACAGAACACGAGAGGCATTATTTATTACAAAACGCTGCTTTGGATGAGACGTGTAACAAGATAAAAAGACTGAATAAAGCTGTTTTTAAAACCCTGACATTTAGTTAATGCTTCATTTGTTATTTTCTGATTATAAGCATGCAGGGTTATTTATTTCTTTTTATAATTTTTAACTGCCTGACACTTCGCCCTGTGCTATCTATCAGGGACAGAGAGAGAGTGAAAAAATGGCTAATATCTTCTGTAATTTTCTAAATATTGGGCAACAGATCAAATATCTTCTGCTTGGCAGGGGAGGGAATTAACTTACGGTCACAAATATTGGAGGCCTAATCTCACACCTCGCTGAGCAGATGCAGATCAAACTCGGATGACGGGGCACCGTCAGTAGCCTAACAGTTGGCTGGACATAACGCTTGGTTATTATTTCCCCTTTATCAGATGCCAGGAGGGGAGATCAATAAGTGGACATGAGTTTGAGTTTTTAGTGTGGGGCACTCCATTAAAACTGAGTAGATTCTTCTCATTTCAAAGACGACCTGCGGTGGGCTCTTACCTTAATGAAACCGCTGGACGACACCGCAGAAGCCCAGCGGTTCGTCACATCGGGCTGTGGCGAGCTTTGATGGATGTGCTTTGGATTGTTTGCATCCCAACTGGACAGTTTTTATGGGCTGTGGCCAATGGGTTTTAATAAACTGAGGTATGAGGTGTGATGTTAGAGGGGAAACTTTTTGAAAAGTTGAAAAAAAAAAAACCTTCATGCAACCCTAAGTGACATGTTATGTTATGTGATGATAGCTCTGGATACTGACTGGTGGCATTTGAATGCAGCACTGTTGGTCACATGTGCAGTTCCTCTAAAAGAAAATCTTGAAAAAACAAGCTAGCTTCTGTTAGCCAGATAAGCTGTAGGCAATATATGGATGTAAGGATGTTGCTGTCAAGACCACCACATTTGGGCCTATTCAGGCCTACTTTTGGCTCTCCCAAAGGTCATGAGCCGTGCTCAATATGGGTCATGACAGCTGTTGGATGAACCAGATGTGGTCAAAAGTCATGACGTGGTTTCAAATTGAAGCAGTAGTAGCTCAGATGTTACAACAGTTCAGATACTTAGACAATACAATGTGGAACTGTGGCTGGATTAAGACAGGCATATTTATCCTGAGTCATATCCATCCATCCATCACTTGTCTAAAGTCAGTAGGTGGTGGCAACAGGCTAAGCAGAGTATTCCAGACTTCTTTCTTCCATGCTTTCATTTTAGAGTTCCTCCACGAGGATTAATACAAACAGACAAAATAAGTTTCTTCTGTAGGGTTGCTGGGCTCAGTCTTAGAGATGGGGTGAGCCTTGGAGATCTAGATGGCTCTCAGAGCAGAACTGGTGTTTCTTTGTGTCATTATGCAGCTGAGGTGGTTTGGTCATCTGGTATGTGGCTGCCTCTGGGAGGAGACGCCAGGGTCAACAAATGGTCAGTGATTAGTTTTTTGGGGGGCTAGATGTGGCCCAAAATGTCACATCATACCTGAAAGCTATGGCTAAGTTGAGACAGCCACATATGATATGATAGCAGATAAATTTAGGCCCAATGTGGAATACTTATGGCACTGAAAGAGCGGTTGCACTGCTAGTAAATGTTATATGAACAGCCTATGGCAGAGGCAGCTGCATTTACCATGAGTGAACACTGTCAACCAAACCCAAAGGGAGCCCAGAGAAGACTGCAAAGTGGGACGTTTGGGGCAAACAATTACTGCCATCTCTGGTGAGACAGTCCTCACAAAGCCACGTCATAGTTTGTGTAGTCCACAAGCCTTCTTAGACTCTTACACAGTCTCCATACACTTTGTGCATCTCCCTCAAAAACATTCATAAACAGTCTTGTGAGTAGACTTTGGACTCTTAGGAGAGGATGTACTGTGAGTGCAGCGTGATGACTGTGCTACCTGGAGAAGTGTTGCTGCAGTGTCACCATCTGCCGCCCACCCAGCTGAGGCTTTGCCCTCTCCCTTCTCTCCACACCCAGATGTTGTTTGTTCTCCAGCTGGGGATTATTATCACGGATCAGTTTTGATGGCGTAGCTGCAGGGCGAAGGAGTAAACACAGTTAGTTTGTTGTTAATCTCACATACCATAATCCCACTGAACATCAACCCCCCCCTCCCCCTTTCTCCTTTGTTCATCTTACACACTGTAGTTTTAAATTATTCCCGACATCCCTGTTTGCAACACAGCTGATAGGTTGTGAGCTGGACTTCCTACTCGTGACATTTAAAACAGGGCCTCGGGGTAATCTGTCATGTCAAACCCATGTACTGTGCATGTTGAAAAAAGAAGGGAAAAAAAGCATGTTGTCATGGTAGCAAAAGTTCAGGTGTTGTAAATATTATAATGACTATAATACCTCATGGCTGCTCCTTTGGGTGTTTACCTGTCTGGATGGTATTCAAATGAAAAAAAGCTGCTGGCCGGGAGAGTTTAACACTTACTGTAAGCGTGGCCAATATTCGTGTCAGCCGCACTCATAGCTCAAATAAACCTGGCATAAATAAGTGGATTTCCAGTTTGTTTGTTTGTTAAAGTCTCGTTTTGCATCAACTTCATGGGAATTTTCCATCTAGAAAAGTTCATTTCTTCTTTAGTGTCAGTCAGTCTAAGCAGCCATATGAGGAAGCTAAGCATAATGATAACAGTTTCCAGGCTATTACAGAAATAATCAGTTTGGTTGAGTGGGTTTATTTTTATTTTTCTGCATGAGTGGAAGCCTCAAGCCACAGGTTTGGCTCACTGTGACTCACTTTACCAATCAGACTGCATCAGCAGTCCTCCACCATGCAGTGCTGCAGTGCAGAAGAGAATCCAGCAGAAGAATATGGACATGCACGAGGCATCATCGCCCTCAATAAAAACATGGAAGAAGAAGAGTAATGCAGGTTGTTATTAATATGTTTCTGTACATAAATGTTCATGCCTTTTTTTACCTGACCTGTGTCGTGTGCACTGATATGTGTCCATCTACATTAAATGGAGATTTTTTCACTTTTAAAGGGTGGTTTGTTAAGTTTGACTGAATTCAATTCGGTTTTATTTATAAAGCAAAAATTCAGAAGAAAGGTCACATCAAGGTGCTTTATGTTTGAAAGTGAAGACACTAAAATATCAGAGAGGAAACTTCACCAAGCAGCAGTTTTCTTTCTCATGAGCAGCATTTAGTGAGTGCGGGGAGGAAGAACTCCCCTTTAACAGGAAGAGGTTTCCTGTGCCAGAAAACCAGTGATTGAGCGAGAATTATGCCAGAAGCTTGTTGATGGCTACCAAAAGTATCTGGTCAAGGTGCAATGTGCTGACGTTTAACCAAATATTAGTGGGCAATTATCATTTAGAGAAAATCCTACATATATTAATTGTGCACCCAATTCTCGTCTTTCAAAGTCATTAAAGATGTTTCCTGCACAATCATTCCAGCCTGGAAAAAGCCCCAAATTACTATTCATGCCCACGATGAGTGGATAAAGACTTCCGACCACAACTGTAACAAAGCTTTTTCACAGCAGATGTGTCGAATTGTTAAAATGGAAAAATCGAATGTGTGTTTTAGAAACACATCAAACACATTTATCAGCTAAAGTGAGTTTGTGCTTTTCTGTTTGTAAAGTCTCAAAATGTCCTGTGTGGAAAAGATTTATATAAGCGTACAAAAGCATAAGAGCACTGCCTCCATTAAAACTGCAGACTTTTAGAGAATCAGAATGTGAGTCAAAACAGGGCCACTACAAAAGGTCAAATAACTAATGGCTCTCCTCTAATTATTCCTCCCATTAGTGTTGTTTTTTAAAGAATGAATTGCAGTCGCAGCTTGTTTTTCCTGTAGCCAGCAGGAGCTTGTAAAATCAGAGAATAAAGATGGAGGATTTTCACTGTTTTCATACAAAGTCAGGGACAAACCCATTAAAGCATGCGAAGGAGGAACTGGTCTTAAGTGAACTAATATGACGGGACTGGTCTCTTAAAATGTTAATCAAGGATATAAATCAGCATTTGAGGGAAACTGGCAAACATGGTGAAGTTTGAATCAAGGCTGCCATCTAGTGGTGATTGCTGAGTGGATGTGCAGCAGGATAACTGAGGTTTGAAATGTTTCAGGACATTTAGGCCAAAGATTTGAAAAAAATGTTGTTGCTGTGTAAAGAATCACATGGAGGACAACTTTCTCTTCTTTATTTTCTTAAAGAAGAATGGGAATATAAATTTCTTCTGACACAAAATCCAAAGGAAACAGTCCTAAAATCTCTTTTTGATTTACAGTTTAGCTGTTGTGATTTACTTTACATACAGTAAGCAAAAGTCTTGACCCATCGCTCGTTTCTTTATCTTTTGCTTCCAAGTCCTCTTGAGCAACAGTTTTTCAGGTTTCAGAAGCTCTTTCAAAGTTTTTTTTGTTTGTTTCTTTTCTTTTTTAGATTCAGTTTGATTGACAACAACTTTACAGCACAACTTTAAAATTATTGAAGCACTGTGGGATCCTCCTGACAGAGAACAGAATAAAAAGCTGAAACATCCAAAGAAGAGCTTTGAATTTCCTTCAAGAAGCCTGGAAAACTATTCCTGAAGACTGCTCAAACGTATTTCTTGTTTTTGCATATTTTAAAACAACAAAGCAGCGGAGAAAAAGTCTGACAATGAAGAATCACAGAAGTTGGTTGAATCAGATCATGTTGATGAATGCTGTGATCTGTGCTGTGAAAAATACACCTTGAAGCTTTGCTTTATTTATTTATTTATTTTTAAAAAGGCTGGACAGCACATGAGTGTTTATAATTTATACTCTTCTAATTAATTATGGAGGCACCATCGTCAGGGCAGCTATATTATTCTTTGAGCTGTGAAGAGCAACAGCTTCACTCCTCATGTCACAGCAGCGGGAAACACAACTGGTTCAGAGGTGCTCCCTTTTTTTCTTTTTAACCTGACGAAGGTTGGCTGGACAGAAACGTGTGATTTAATAAACTAAGGTTACACGAGAGTGTGGAGCTTAAAATGTATATTTTTAAAACAACAGTGGAAAACAAAACGATGGATTTGAAGCCTGTAAAAATACTTATTTTTAAAGATCAGCAGAGAGGGAAATCGTCTGCTGTCTTAATGTTTCTGAAATGTTGCGCTTTATTTTTATTTAACTATAGAATATAAATGATTTACAAGTTATTATGTTCATTTTTTACTTGCACTTTATTCAGAAACACTTTTACCCCCCCTTTAGATTCTGTGTCTTGTGATACTGTAATAATTCTAAAGCAGCTTCATTATGGTGTTATAAAATAGCTGTATAATGTCGCCCCCTTGTGGCGATCCTAGGTAACGCACACTAATTTAACCAACGTAAGCTCCATGTTTTTGTTTCTTAACATTATAGATGCCGCAGAAGAATCTGATTTAAGTGATTTTTTACAAAATATTTAAATATATAACTCCAAATATCTGAAACATATTTCACATCTCCAAACCAGAGTGTTACAGAGTGACCAGTTCATCCATAGTTTGGTGTTAAAGTATTGCGGACATATATGTGGGCAACCACAGACGAGGAATACAGGACAGGAATATTAATTTTATATGAGAAAAAACAGAAACATAAGCATGTTTTTCAATAGCTGTCCAGCAGATGGCGCTCTTCACTCATTTTCCTCAGTAATCTGGAGTCACATGACATCTCTAAAGGAATCATGTGACTTTTGTCCTGAGCTCAGAGTCATGCAACATACATGTTAAACAAACATGGTGCAGAATGACATGTGATCCCGATTTATGATATTTTATCTTTATTTCTGTTTGTTTCTGAGCATAAACACCAGAATAAAAGATGACGGAGGAGTGAGCTGTGTATATGGAGGACCAAAACTGCCACAGTTTAAATGTGGGGAAGAAAAAAATAAAGGTCAGGAAAATGTTAAATAAATAAGCCCAAATATTATTTAAAAATTTGCATGAATGAATTCATATTCAAGACAAATTTTAAAAGCAATTATCTACTTTTTTGCCTTTTATTTGATGTTGTATTAAACCCCCTTTTTATTTGAACTGTTATGATCATCCATCCATCCCTCTCCTCAGCCGCCTCCTTAACCTCATCCAGGGACACACTGACACATTCCCAGCATGTCCTGGATCTACTCCAGGGGCCTCCTCCCAGTAGAATATGTCTAAAACACATCATCTAAGAGGCATCCATACCCGGCTCAGATGTCTAAACTACCACAAATGGTTCCTTTTGATTTGGAGGAGTAGCCGTTTCTACTTTGAGCACCTCCCAAATGACCGAGTTGCTCACCCTCACCTCTCTAAGGGAGAGCCCAGACACATTTCTGAAGAAGCTCATTTCCACCTCAAGTATCCACGTTACAAAAATGTTGACTTTTGGCCGGAGCTCGCGGCCTGAGAGTAGAAATGTAGAACAACCAGTAAATCGAGAGTTTTACTTTCACCACTACAGACCAGCACAGCTTCCACATACCTGCTGATGCCACAGCAGTCGATGAGTCTCCTGCTCCACTCTCCTCTCAGTTGAGAGCAAAAACCACTTGTCTATTTTTTCACCCCTGACTTAAACTCAGTTCGGAGCAGCAGCTACTCTTCACTGCTGTCCATTTTCCAGCTGTGACTTTAAGGTGTTAATTCTCATCCCAGCCGCTTCACTCTCAGCTACAAACCTCTCCACTGTGAGGTCACGATCATCAAGACTGGCTTTTATTTTTTCCATTCATCTTCTTCTTCCAGCTGCTCCCTTAGAGTGTCCAACCCTCTCTATTCCGCCTTCATATCTACATCTACATCCATGAACCACCTCTGAGGTTTTCCTCTTTTCCTCCTGCCCTGCATTATCCAATATATTCACTCTCCCTTCTCTGCACATGTCCAAATGATCTCAGCCTTGTCTCTCTAACTTTGCCTATGCTCGACCTGAGCTGTCCCTCTCATGTAGTCTGATGTGTGAAACTCTCAGCATCTTTAGCTCTGACACCTCACTCTCCAGCCCCTCACTCAGGACCAGTATGTATTTTACCCACCAATGAGGAGGCTGTTGA